GCTCAGTGTTACCACTCCACAACTATGGAGAGGAACAGCAGCACCGGTGAAGCCACCAGCAAGGCAGTGGCATGGCATATCCCAGGATGTGCCGTCTCAGGAGGCCTATCAAAGCACCTCCAAGATCATATGAGACAGCCCATTACTCCTTGGCATGCCCAGAGGCCTTCAGAGCATGAAGGCTTCTCCAACACACATAGTCAGCACCAGCAGTAGGGAGGTGAGCCCAGAGCCCTCCCTGGCGCCTGCCCTGAGTCACTCCAGAGGCACCTCCTTGGCCTCCCTCCCAGTGAGTAAGGATGATGGGGAGCATGGCAGGGAGCTGATTGCCCCACGGCTGCAGTTTCACAACAGGAGATGTCTGTGGGTCATGACTGGGAGCTGCTCAAGCCCTCAGGAAAACACAGGGGAACAGTTTCCAGATTGTTCGGGAGTGATTGCAGCAGCCTCCCTGGGGCAGCAGCTCAGTGCTGCTCTGCAGCTGCTGCTCCCTGGGCTGATTCTTAAACACGGGAGTGGGCCCACAGACTAGCTGCAGGAATGCTCTCAGTTTCATCCCAGACGTATCCACCCAGTGAGCCGTCATCCTGCCTTGGATGTAAGCTACTGTCTTTAACAGCAATAATGGGGGGAGGAAATAGCTTGTTGTTGATAATTACCAGTATTTAATAATGTCTTGCTGCCCTCTCAGCCATTAGATTCCCCTCTCTCTTTGCACCCAGCCACTCAGCTTGCACATGGAGAACCATAGCACTTGCTTCAGGCTTTGCAGCTTCTGAGCAGACTCTACCTGTGCTCAGGAGGAGATCGGCCAACCATCCATCTTCATCTTCCTCTGCTCTGGAAGGACAGTCAGTCTAATTTAGAGCCTCCCCCCACAAACAATAGCCTTTTCCCAGGCCGGCCGGGTGCCCTGGTGAGGAATGCTGACAATCTGCCTTCCAAGAGCGGAGCTGTCAGTGTTACTTCCCTACTGCTGAGCCCTCAGTCATCACTTGCGTGAAGGATAAGCATGCAGCCTGCTGCCTTGTGACAAGAGCTGTGACTTTGTTTAGGAGCCAAGCACTCGGGACGAGTACCAGGGAAACGTGGCTTAGTGGAACAGGAAATATTAACAATCACGATAAAAGTGAAAAAAGCGGCCAGTACACGTCCAACTCAGCTGGAGGCACCACTCTACGGTAGGCTCAGAGTAATGGCAGCCCCCACAAAGACAATAAAAAAATAGCTTTTCCACTTCAAGGCTGGCTTCTAAAAGAACAGAGTAATTTTTCTCCTGTTCATCTGTGCACAAGAAAAGCCCCTAAGCAAGGTCATCTGCATATTGCAGTAACTGCTGGCACAGGGAAGAGCACCGAGGGGTTTCCAGCTCCACAGAGGAGCTGTTGCAAAAGCCCACAATGATACACTCACACAGCTCCATCTCCCTCCAGCAGCGGGTTAGGATAAACCAGTTGTCTATGAGCTACTACAGCTTTGTGAATCCATCACGTCTTTCTGCTGGTAGAAAAACCCATGATTGAGATAAGCGTTTCTGGCTAAAAGGATTTCTCTCAAAACTCCTCCTTTCTGACTGAACTGCTCAAGTGGTAGCACTCCCCCTTTTTCTTCCCCCTTAGTTTCATATGTTTTAGTTAAGGCAGTTAGCAGGCTGGAAAAGCTGCATTAACATCACATTCATATCTATACAGTCCTTTCAAGTTACTATAGAGCTGATAACCTCTTTGTCCTTGTAATCCACAGTAAATAGAAGAGGTTAATCACTCCAGAAATGGGTAACAACTCACAGATCCCTCCACTTCTAGTATGCTGTTTGCACAACACCTAGTGCTGGGAATAACCAGAAACTGTTTCAATAATCCTAAATCATCCCAGGAATCTGCTAAATCACACATTAAACCTAGAAGGTTTGTCTTGGTCTTATCTCCACCAGGCAAGTAGCTGCACCATGATGATGATCTAAGGCTGGAACTTAGCTGGCAGTACAATCACTCATTTTGGGTTTCCATCCAAGGACCCATGGCACAGGCAGGGGGCTTGGACACTGCATTTGCAGTTGGCTCTAAGGGAGGTCCCTACCAAACCCAGAAAATGAAGTAGCCTTTCCTGCGAGAGGCAGTGTTCTCACGCAGGAACAGGGACCCTGCCTATAGATGGAATGCTGCTGTCCCTCTCCCAGGGCACGACCTTGGGCAGGCAGCATGGGCTCTCTGGTCCCAAGTTTCCTCTTCTTCAAAACAGTGATATGATAAACAAGTGGGCTGAGAGCCTTGCAGAGAGGTGCTATCACCGGTACAGGGAGTTATCATCCCCAGGCCTGGGTCCAAAGCACACAGCAACACAAGAGAGCCGTTCCCTCAAAGGACCCTGGCACTGGCACCCAAGCCAACAGGCTGGATTTGTTCTGAGTTGCAGGCTCACTGCTGTTACTACACACTGTACTTTTACCTTTCTAAATGGCAGTAGGTTCAAAAGATTCTGAAGGCTAAGTAACAAAACCCAACACAAATTGCCATTAATGAAATAATCCCCTCTTTAAGAGTTATGACCCAATCCTTGAGCTTCTGCAAGGTATAATCAAAACCATATGTATAGCCATAAATATCAGAAGTATTTACAAAACACTGACAAGATCTTAAAAACAAAAGCAGTGATTTCCTCATCTTGCTGGAAGCTTTACAAAACATGGGGAAGATTTTCTTGTGTAAAATATTGTGCTGACCACAGAGCACTGTATGTTTCACTGTAACAGTTAGTCATTCTATATGCATTTACTGGCTTGGTTAGTCTACTATGACTGGCTACAAACTATTGCAAGAGAAATATTATGAAGTAGGGTCAATAAAAACTTTGTTTATGTAAAATGCATTGTTGTCATAGCACAATTTCACACAAAAGGTAAATCAAGCCCCCATCCAAACAAGCATTTTCCCATCAGTGGTGGCTGGCATTGCTAGAGACGTCTAGCAGAATTACTTGGCAGGGCTGTAAAACTGGGTTATTTAAAGTGACTTTGATGAGTCTATACTGGGGTAAATGCCTCTGCTTTTTCTAAAAACCTAACATAAAACAAAACAATCCCAAGCACTTAAGCACAGAAGCCGCACCTCTGGCTTTCCCTTCAAGTATCCTAATGAAAACCTGTAGGTGCTGCAGTCAAACCAGGCTGTTGACACAGAGCAGAAGCTTCATGTGGATGCTAGCTAGCAACACAACCTCATTTCCCAGGAGCTGCTGCCCCTTTCCTTGTATGTTCAGTGTGTAGCAGTAGGCCAGGACCCCACAAGTTGCTGAGCCCCATTGTGAAGTCCCAATCAGCTCCCAAGTCCTTCGGGTGTCAGGACACTTTGAGGGTGTTCAGCTCTTAGCAGAACCAAAGCCACCATCTTTTCCTCTGCGCATCTTCAGCAGGCGAGCTGCAAAGCAACACTGGGAGCAGTGTGTAACAGTATGTGGTGTTCCCAGGGTCCCTACCTCACACATCAACAATCCCCCGGTGGAAAGACGGAACAAACATCATTGCAAACACCCACAGTAGTTTGTAACTTCATAAACTGGAAATAAGCTGTTTAAAAGTAACTTAGCAGTTGATTTAAAATAAATAAAGGAAGGTGAGGAAAGTCATTTAGGTGTTTTCTAGGAAGGACTGAGATGTTCCTGGCCTAGAAACAGGCAGTCTAAGAAGTAAAGTTTGGTTTAGTTACAATTTGGGTGCAATTGTAAAGAAAATTGTTCCATTTCAGCTATGATGTGGATTCCATGAAATTGCAAGAATCTGTTCTGGTCTAGACTTCATTTCAGAGGGGAAAAATGACATTCAGATTGGTCTTCTTTCATACAACAAGTGTGGCAAAATACTGGAATGGGTTGCCCAGAGAGGTGAGAGATGTGCCATCCCTGGAGACATTCAAGGCCATTAAAGCAGAGAAACATGTTTTTAACGCACCTTTATGAAGATACCACCATTGACACAGGAGCAAACATTGCAAATTATTTATGCTCTACTATATTTATGCCCTTAAAGAGACAGTTACTTATCACTGTCACTAAAAGCTCATAAGGGACATCTCCAAAAGCTGTAAGCACCATTGGGCCCTTGAACAGACAAATCCACAGGTGCTCAACTGGCTTTTCAAAGCTGCTGAGAACTAGCACTTCTGAGAGGTCAGCTCTTTAAGTCATCATTTGCATATCAAATATTAAGTTCAAACGTCTACATTTTGCATGTTTACTATTGAAAAGAAAACTTGTACAGCAATAGCTTTCTGATGGAAGAGGTTACTGACATCTCTCCAGCACAGGCAGGCAGCACCAGTAAGTCTAGATCAATGCACACTGTGCTGCTGAAGTTAATACACGTTTGGAAGATGCTTAAAAATGAAGACCTGCTGCAATGAAAATGCATCCCAGGGGAGTTCAAGGCAACTGAATGGCTGCAGTTCTGCAGAGACCCTAAAGCAGCAGAAGCATCACACGTTTTTCTTGTCATTTCTTTTCCCACAATGCTAGAAGAGAACAGATTGGAAGATACACTGAATGGTGGAAGTGCTCATTCTGGCTTACTTTTCACGTTACTTGAAATTCAATCACAGCGCTTCAGATACATAAAAATGAGCAACAGAGCACACTTAATGCTTCATTTTAGGTTCCTAATGCGACACAGAGCAAGACGTCATGGGTAAAGGTTGTGAGCCTGAAGTCTGTGTCCCAGTGATCTGTTTTGTATGTGGACTGCGAAGCCAAGCACAGTATTACTGACATTAGCAGGACTCTCTGTGGGTGCTCATGCATCACACACAAACTGAGGATTCTGAGCCTCGTGGTTGTGCTGTGTATAAAGACTAATGGGGCATCTAAGTGGATCTTTCCTTGAGAAGGAATCTACGTAGGTTCAAAGTGTTCCTCTCAGGCTCTCAGACTGAGCTTAAGACATTGGAAAAGCTTAGATCAGGTTTTAACAGGTAGCCCACCAAACACCATTCCTCCAACATATCGAGAGCTCTTTCAATAGATACCTCTTTATTTGAAATGGAATGCATCTTGAAAAATATGAAAAATAAATCACATCTCTCAGAAATCATTTATGAGTCATATTTACACACTTTTTTTTTTGACAACACTGGTATTTCTGCTCACAATAGAATGTGCTAGAAAACATTTGGTACATCACTGCAGCTATAATTCAGAAGCTGGCATTTGCATATCATGAAACTTAACTAAAAAGAGGAATCACTTCAGGATGTCACAGAGACAACATCCACTTGATCTTCCTTTCCCCCCAGTTCCTAAATGTTCCTGGTCACCACAGCTTGAATTTCCTTATTGAGTTTGCCCTTAAACACTTTGTTTTTAATTAAGACATGTAATTTTGACCTCTTTATGAGCTGAATGTCCACACTTTTTTGCTACCTTATACCAAGCATTTGCCTGCACGTGTTTTGCTGGCATTTTTGTTTATTCTCTAATGAATTTATCACCTGCTGTTGGCTTTTTCTTCCTTTTCATTTCTTTTTTTTTGCAAGGTGGAGGACAGCCTGATTTCTTTACTTGCAAAGCTCCAGTAAGATGGAGTGTGATTTGCTGGACCTACTTTCACAGCCATTGCTTACAAGGCAGTAACATACAGTATTTAACCCAGTAGCTCCAATGAAAACTATGCTGCAGTAGAGAGGCAAGCCAAAAAAAAAGCCCAAACTTGCCTCATTTATAACATCAATTTTGTGGTCTGAAATTACTATCAGTCAAAAGAAAAAAGAAAAAAAAAAAAGGTGAGATTTAGAGTTGTCAGATTGTCCATATCAGACAATTCAGCCTTCTTCATACAGACACAGCATGAGCCACACATTCCAGCTGTCCCCAGGGGACCCCAACCAATTTATTCCCATTCAGTTTCCAGGAGACAGTGTGGAGGCACAAGGTAGGGTGGGTTGATCCTTACACCCATCCCTCCACTTGGGCTGCAGGCATAGGAACAGTTCAAGGTGGATTTTGTGACAGGACCATCTCTCACAGTAAGAGTTTGGCTGACACCAATGTTTTTTAAATAGGTAACACAGCAGGTAAGGACATCCAGCAAAATACTGCTGAACTACGTCAGTCCAAGTGGTCTTGACAGCATCATTCAGACCAGCTTACAAAACATAAAGTAAAAGTGGAACATTGACCTTGAACCAGTGAAAGAGAGCAGTAAACTCAAAGTGAAAGCTGTTTCCTCAAACCTTAATGGCAGTTATAACACTAAAATCGTCATCTTTCTAAGTACAAATACTTCCAGAAGAGCAGTAAAATTTCAGCTTTAGACTAGATCCATAGACTTTTGTGGCATTCAGGGCCTTGCATCCACTGAGGACAGGAATACCCTCCTCTTTTAGAGAAATATGTCCATCTGATCACATAGGAACTAATTTTCATCAACTACATTTATCCTTCAGTAGCCTAAAATGCATTTTAGTAGGTGAGATATCAGCAATACATCTGTGTATCTGAAAAGGTGGATTAGTTACTCAGCAAACTGTAATTAATGACTCTAAAGAGAGGAGCCAAATTACAAATTACAGTCTATTTTGTGAGTCTTTGACTAGCTCATTAGAGAATCCCCTTGCAGCTCTAACATCCAAGCATTAGCAGAATGATAATGGCAGATGTGGAAATTGGCTATTATGATTGCCAAGACAGCAAATCTAATCCTAGAAGATGCTGGGGCACCTTCGATTTCAATTAGTCTCAAAATAACAACTTTGTTAGCACAGCTGTAATCTACCACCCCAAGCTCATCACACAACCTTGTTGTGGGCCGTATCAAAACCAGAGCTTAGGAGCAACCACTGAGAACCACCAAGGTCAGGCTTTAATTCTGCACTATGATGCGCTCTGCATGTCTAGGTCATGTGGGGACAAGGAACACAAGAGGAGAGCTAAAAGAGCTCCCGACTTACTCCTTATAGGTCTGAGCTTACGCTTAGAGTGGAGAAGAAGGGACTGTTATGTGCTGTAGTCAATTCCAATGTCGTTTGAGCATCACTCCAGTCTTTTGCTTTAAACACTTACAGAAACAGCTTGAACCAAGAACATGGGGCTTTTACAGTCAAGTTACACCTCAGTTACACAAACAGAAAACTCCTGGATGTGTGGCTTCAGAAGAATTTGTTTACATTCATGTAACTTGTAAAGCAGCCAAAAGCCATTTTCCTCACCACACTAGTTAAAATAAATAGCCCCACGGCTACAACTTGAACCAGATATAATAGGCCACATTGATCTGTCCTGTTTCCAACCCCCTGAGGACGAGGGCTGTAGCAGCACACAGCAGCATGAAGCCACTCACCATCACCTGGAAGGCCCTGGAACACACAGACCTGCAGCCGTTCCTTCCTCTGCACTGGGCAAACAGCACCAACCCAGTCTCACCAGCACCACAGCCAAGCTCCCAGTGACTGTTAGGAGGAAGCCACACCAGCTGTGCAATTAGCCCTTTGTTTTCCAACTTCATGGCTTCGTCACTGCTTTCCGAGGCAAGACTGCATGCCTCTCTTGACATCTGACAGCACTAAACACCACAACTCATCTGGTTCATCTCAGCTACAGAGCAACTTCCAGCTTGTGAAAACCATGACCTAAAGAATCCATTCGCACACTAAGGCATACATAAAATAGGGTTTAAACTAGGGGCTACTTTAATGCAAGACACTTAAAAACCGCCATGAAAATTCAACACGGGTCAAGAGCCTGGGTCGCTTACACACCGACTGTGCAAAGAGAGCCATGGACACTATGAAACATTCCTAAATGTCACTTGGGTCCTGCCCTCCTGCCTAGGAGGGAGCAGGTAACTGGAATCCAACTGGGATTCCTGTACCACAAAAGAAGACGGTCAGGTTCCTGTCCACTCATACGTTATAAACAGATTGGTTTTAATCTCGGGATGACAAGCAATGGTTTTTCTTTAATAACCAAGCATGAATAAATGTTATCTTCTGCAACACATAGTGTTTTAAAAGAAAATAATTTTAAACCCGGACTCTAATTGCATTACAGAAAACAATTTCTGTACGCAGTGTGGGTTTCAGCCAAATTCCAAACCGCATGTCATATTTTCCACCTTAGCATAATACAGTGGATTTTAGGTAAAAATGAAAAACTTTTGTCAAATTACACATGGCCAAACTAGCCATAACTTTTTACGGTGCTAACGTACACATTGTTTTTTTCCTTTGCTTTTCAGATACAGCCTACATTCAGAAATGTCTTGCAGATATAAGCCTTTAGAAACAACAACAATAACAACAAAATAAAAACAGAAATAAAACCAAACAACCTAATAAATAAAATAAAAATACATTAAAATAAAGTTACAGTACATCCTGTCTCCTAGAAATCCCATCGCACCGAAGGATCCCTTCCAAGGTTCATAAATAATAGATTTGAAATGCTTCTGGGCACCGAGGGCGGCAAAGCAGCAGCACAGCAGCAGCTGGGGTCCAAGGTGTTGAGCCTCATCTCTCTCCAGTCTACCTGCACCACCGGCGTGTGCCCAGTCTCTGACCACCTGAAGTACGGCCGCGGCGAACGCGCTCAGTCCCGCTTCCCCGAAGCGCTCCGTTAACTTCACCTGCAACAAGACAGCACAGCGCAAAGGGCAGCCCGTCAGCCGAGGAAGACCGGAGCCGGGAGCTGGGTCTTCCCCCCCCACCCCGGGGCCGCTCTGCGGGCCCGGGGCTGGCACCGAGCTGGGGCACGGGGCTCGGAGGGGTGGCAGGCTGCGGGTCCGTACCTGGTCTAGGCGGAGTTGGAGGCGCTGCGGAGGCGCGGTCCGTGGGGCTGCGCCAGGTGCTGCTGCTTCTGCCGGGTGGAGCGGACGGCGAGGATGGCCTGGCGGTTCTTGTACTGCACCATCTGCAGCGTGATCGCCGCGTTCCAGCCCTGCTCCTGCGCGCACCGAAAGTCGATCTCCTTCCCCTCGGCCATCACCACCGTGAAGTACACGTACTTGCCTTTCCGCTCCACGCAGTCCACCGTCTTCATGTTGGAGAAGTGCAGCTCCTTGATCTTGGCCGTCGGCTCGGCCGGCAGCGGCGGTTGTTGCTGTTGTTGCGGTTGCTGCTGCTGCGGCGGCGGCTGCTGCTGCTGCTTGGGGGGGGTGAGGAGTAGCCCCTCCTCGGTGAGGATGCAGCGCTTCTTCTTCCAGAGCTGCAGGAGCCCGTCGCTCCTCTTCTCCAGCACGCCCTCCTTCACCGCCTTGCAGCCGCTCTCCAGCATCCTCCTCGCATAAGCCGGCGGGGCCGAGGGCCTCCGCCCGCAGGGGCTGTGCTCCGGGGGCAGCCGGCACCAGCCGATGACCCGCCGCCCCGCGCCGGCGCCGCGCCGGAGGGCCGGGAGCGCCCCGGCCCGCAGGGAGCGGAGCGGCTGCCGCCCGTGCCGCGGCGTGGCGGACGCGCTGCCCGGCGGACGGCTCTGGCAGCGGCTTTTCCCTCCCCGCCGCTTTTGAACGCGCCTTCCCCTCCCCAGAGTGACACCCAGCGGAAAAGGCGGCTCCTCCCGTCGGCACCGGGGAAGCCCAGCCCGGCCCGGCCGCGGAGGGGTGCGGGGGCAAGGGGTTGCCCCCTGCCCTGCTGCGGTCCGAGCTGCGTGCCCGGCCCAGCCGCCCTTTTGTCCCGCGGGCGGTGGCTAGGACAGAGCGCGGAGGTGCTGCGGAAACTGCTGTTCCGCTCTACTTAGCTACCGGTGGCTTCAAAGTGGGATTAATGTAACCATTCAGATGCGCTGCAGCGCTCATGTGCTTCCCCCAGGGTGTGCCAGCAGCATGCGCTCGGAACTGATGTCCGCAGCCTGCCCCCTCCCCGGCGCTGGGAACAACAGCAAGAACCCCCCCTTCTGGGTGTTTCTGATTCAAGCCCAATAAAACCGTGTTGCTAGTTACCAGCGACACCCTGGTATTTAAACCATCATCTCGCCATTAAACAAAGGAAACAGCCTGACACAGAACAGCTTTAGCCCTATGCTTTCAGGGCTCCCGACTGTGCTGGGGAGAAGCAGCGTTAACTGTATATATAAAATTACATACAAATCTTCACTCGCTGCAGCAGTTTGAGTAATATCCAAGGAAAGCAAGTATCCATACCACTTCCCAGAACCTCAGTACTTGGAAATTTTACGAGTAGGAAAAAAACCCCAAACAACTAAAACCAAGCTGGCAAAGAACCAGGACCATTTGGCTTGTTACTCTCTGCTTTGTTGCCACACATTTGATTATTGTTTGGATTCTCCCCTGAGATTAGCTTTTGAATTCATTTATTTGAATAGAAAAGTGACCTCAGGTTAACATTAAGCTATATAAGTCCTTTGATGTATTACATGTAAATCAAAAAGCCTACATAACTGAATTTGTCTATCAATGCCAATGTAAACTGAAGGCTGAAGTTTCATACTCCAAGAGTATTGGTTTGTTTGAAACATCTACTTAACATGGCCAAGAAAATAAAAACCCTCCTTAAAGTAAACTTGGCAGCCAGGAAGCAGGTCATGTAGCATAGGTCAGTGGGAGCACATTATGGGGAAAAAAAACAACAGTATTAATGATAGCTTTAACGGACTTTATATCTGGTAACATTCTAAAATGAGTTTCCTCCTATAAACTTTTCCTCCTGAAGTTCAATGTTAATTTTGAAAAGTTGTCGAGAGGCAATTAAGCTAACAACAGCAATAAAGATGACTTAGCTGGTTTACCTTTCCCGAGGTAACTGGAAGACACTCAAATCATAATAAAGACAACTTGCTAACCATAAGATGAACAACAAAAAAAAAGAGATTAGTATCTGAAACATCCATTTATCTGAAGAACAGTCATTCTTAAAGCTTCCTATACACACTACTATATCCAGTTCATTTTCACAACCATCTTACAACTATTTTAAGAGGCCCCTGCTCATTTTCAAAAGATATGAACACCATTCATGATTGTCTTGATCTGCAGCTCCCCACCATTTGAGCCTAAATCTCCCAGTGGAAATATCTGTGCCTTCAGCTGCTGGTGCACATACAAGGAACCTCACACACAGCGTGAACAAGACAGGAGAACTCCTTGCCTTTTCATCTAACCTACTTTACATCTACCTCTTTGCTCCTGACTGTGTCACATAAGCAGGGACTTAATTTTGCAGTTGTCAAACTAAAACATAAACTGGTTAAAACGCATTCATCTAGACCAAACAACTGCATTAAAAAAACAAGTTAATGTAAGGCACAGGGCATTGAACTAAACCTACAGAAGACTTTAATTTCTCGTTATTCTCCAGTTCTGGTTGCATGTCCGTTGCTGCAGGTGAGTAGCAGTTTGTTTCCAACACGCACTAACCAGCAGTCTGGAAACTTGCACTAGGCTAAGGAGTCCCACACGTCAGTCTTCAACAAGCATTCAAGAACCTTTCCCCACCTGCAACACTGTCCTGTAACACTTAATGACATTAGCACATAATCTGTGTATTTTAACACGAGCTTTTTTGCTTGTTCTCAGTGCTAACAGCAATTTGTAATTAATCAAAGGAAAAAAGTAAGATAAGTATAGAAAACAAAAGACTTCCAAATATACAGGAGAAAGGGACTAAATTCATTCTACTTTGGCCTTTCATGGCATAAAGTTCCCAGAAGTGTTGAATGTCAGATTTTTAACCCAACTCTAAACACTGATAGACATACTCTGCTAATGTATAGACCCACAACAACAACTCTTTATTCCTGGTGAAATTCACCTAAGCATGTGATCGGAGGTAAACATGCAAAACATCTATTTGAACTTGCACCCTATAAGCCAACAAGTAGTAACAGCCATTAAAAATACACTACATATTTGAACAAAATCATCAGATCAGTCAATAGCTAGGAGACTAGGGCAAGATTTCATGCTAAAAGAATACAATAATCCAAATCAATCGTGCAGAATTTGCCAGTAAAGGATAATAAACTTCATTTGCCCAGATGGAAGTCACCACAAAACTTCTGGAAATGCTTCTTACACTAGTTATTTGAAAAGCCACATTCACCACAGTTAAGCACACTACATTATCCCACTGAGACTTTAAATATCTATTTAAGCCAATGCAATTATATTAAATTTTCTATGTCTGCTACCTTTATTGAGATTCCGCTGAAGACTATTGCAGGCTCTGTATCTATTCCTCCTGAAATATCTGATGTGCAGATGCCTCCTACTGTTAAACTTGAAATACTACAACCTGATCCTTGAAAGTCTCTACCGAGTTTTTCCTTCTCCCTGTTCAAAGTTCATACTGGTAACAGAAACGTTTGGTTGTTAGATACACTTGTCTCCTACATCAAAAGCTCCCTAACTTAGACTCAAGTAGTTGAAATTTCCTACATATAACCTTAATTAAAGAGTAGCTATGGAACAAGTAATGAGTGTTCTTTTTAAATCCTGAGACAAGTTAAACACTGTTTTAGGAAGCCACCGTGAAAGATTAAAAAGCCCATAACTTTAATAGTGTTTCCCTGGATAACAAATTTGCTTGACACCAACTATCAGCAGTTAGTTTCAAAGGGATGCTAAACTTCTGGGCAACAGCCCTTAAGCATCATCATTTCTCCCATTACTGAGAAGTGGCTATAACAGAAAAACAGTTAAAAGGGAAACCTAAAGAAAGTACAAGCTGGTCATTGCTAGACATAAGGGTCAAGGGCTGAGAAATACATGACAAAATGAACTGTGTTGCAATGTATGATCAAAGCAATTAGTGCTTACTTATTTTTCTTGACCGTTACCATCTAATCTCAGTGGAAGATGCTGCTGACCAAACACTGAAGAATGTTGAACATGTTCATCACTGAAGGATGAACATGTCATCCTGGGGGAAGATTTTTCCTTTCATGAACTCAATCTCACAGACACCTATATATATCCCATAGTAAACCAGGCAGAGATGCACACAAGATTTATCATAACTGTCAACCATACTGCCCCGGACCTTAGCATTCCCTGTACCCTATGGTAGTAACCAAACAAACTGCAATACACAATTAGCATTGCAGCTGCTCTAGCCTGGCTTTTCCAAAGTCCCTTGCTCTTCAGTTAGAGGTATTCCAAAAACATTAAAAGGTACTTAAACACACATAGAGCAAAAGCCAGTTTCTAAGGGGGTTTAGAAGTTTCTCAGATTTGACCAGCAGAATAAAACATGATGCAAGTTCAGAACATACCATTTCTCATCAACTGCAGGGTAAACAGAAGTGTAGGCAGATAATCAACATTTGAGCCTATAAAGGCAAAGCTCATGACAGCCAAGTTCAGGAGCTATGCCCTCTCTGCAGCTGCAAAGACAACTCTTCTTGACAACCCTGCACACTTTAGTTAGATACTTGCGAGAACAAAAGTCTTTCTGCCACAACCCCACACACCCTGGGCACCACTTCTGGTATACACCAAGCAGACCAAAAAGTGGAGTAGCTTATCTTTTGCTTGGTGTAGTGTCTTGTCTGCTTTACTTGCTCTAATTTTCCTATAAAAGCTGAGACACAGTCCAAAAGTGGAAGCTACTAGGTCTGACCAGGGCCTAACAGAGGGATTTAAGGAGCAATGAACCAAGTCTTGCCCAACATGCCACACAAGTTTCCAACTCCTCCTGATAAGTGTAACAGAAGAGTTACTATTTCCAGTAGATTTATGTTCAGTTTAGGTAAGCATAAGGTAATGACGACTTCTCTGACCTGTACGAGAAAGTATTTGACTGGATTTATCTGTGCAGCATGAAGAAGTACTATACAGCCAACATCTGTGGCTACCTCCAGCCCAGCAGGCCATCAAGGCTGTTACACAGAGAAATGCCTTCATCAGACTGTCCCCTTTCTACAGAGGAGCTTAGCATTTCGTTTCCCCTATGCCAACGTGAATTCCACAGAACAATCCGCCTGCCCAACACAAGGCAAAAGGAAATCTCTGGTAGAGAAGTTAATAATCATGCATTTGCATCCAAGTTCCCTATCAATTTCTGAATGAGGTCTACAACAATGGGTCTTAAAACACAGAGAAAGTTTAAGTAACAGCTTGAAGGCAAAGATGAACACATTTGATTCCCAGAGTTCGCAATCTTCTGTTTGTGGGCGTTTTTGGTGTGGGTTTTTTGGTTTTGTGTTTTGTTGTTTGTCTTCATTTAACAAATAAAATCATGTCAAAAATACAATCTCTGCTAGTAGCTTGGGACACATCAGTTCCATGAGTAAAACTAAGAATCTGAGTTTATGAAGCTAGTTAGCTGTACCGGACAATGGTAAGAAGCATTGCTATGCCTACTGTTAAAAAAACCTCAAAGGTAACATTTCTAACAACACTTGATATCACCCTTCTCCAGACAGTAAAACATGAGAATACTAAGCTTAAGTCTGGCCTACTTTATTTCAGGATAATTTTGAGATGATTATTGTTTTTAACAGTAGCAAAGTTATACCAGGCAGGAACACTCTTAAGTGCTAATGCAAGCTAACCTACATTTGCTGAAAGTGTAGAACTACCCAAGAAGAATCTGTCTCCATCAAGCATAAACCCTTGAGCACCCTTCGCTGTCATCCAAAGTCTCCGTTAATTCTCCTTCTGTTTTCCTCACCATCAGCCCATTTTTCCTTAAGATAATTCTCCCTTCAAACGGGAACCAAAACTAGACAGAAAACACCATTTACCCAGATCTTAAATTTGGGTGCAGTACTGCAACAACTGACCAAGAAATCTTATTTCAGTGACACATTTTCCTAGCCTGAACTTGTTAACAAGGTAACTGATCCCCCTCAAATACTGAATGAAGAGTTTCTCTACTGCTGGTATAACCCCATGAGAAGTGAAAAGAATGAGTCACAATACTCCAATCAACGTTGAAAGTTTAATGTTCCTGCTACATACTGCCTTTCAGAATTGCTAAACAAATGTCTTTGAGCACAAAATTATGTTAAGCACCAAAACAGTTTTTAACTGACACCGTGAGAACTGGCACCTTATTTTGTACGATTATAACCTTCCTTTTGCTGCAGTCTGCAGAGCACAAGAACTGCTGATTGAGAACTAGCAAGTCAATCTAGAGAGCAGCTTACCAAAAATCTGTTGAGAGAGATGGATTCATGGCTCTGGATCTTGCAGGCTGCAGGTGACCTCTGACAAGTACAAACTCCCCTTTTCGAATACTGCATCCCATTGTATGATATGATGATATTAAATGAGAAAGCCATCGAAAATTTCCCAACAGTGACTTTTGAAATTCATTGGACAACTTTCAACAGTGCTTTCTCTTTTCAAGAGACATTTGCCAGATGCTGTTAGTAAAAATGGGCTAGATCTAAATAAGGACTTCAGAGACTTCTCGTATCAAAAAGTATAAATCCCAAAGCCCCATATTAATGAGTGCTCAAGCTCATAACATACCATCAGTTTGGTCTTCGCATGCCCTGAATTTTAAGATTAAGCTTAACCCTGGGAGACATTTAGAGAAGAGACCAAGTGAAACACAAACTGGCAGAGTCACAATCTGTATCATAAGAACACAAGTACCATAGAGTGTGATGTTAACTTTTCATTACTCTATTTTTCAACACTATGATTTATGTGTTACCTAACAAAACAAAACAAACAAACAACAAAAAAAACAAAACAAAACAAACACCATTACCTAAGAGCAGAACTTCAACAGTTCTATACTGTTCAACACAGCTATAAGTGGCAAGAGTTCCTGCTCCCAAGTCCATGGAGAGGAGAAAGATGAAGCCTGACAGGGATTCTGAAATGAAGTAGCACGGTATTTGAGCCTTCAAGGAATTAACCAGAAGATAAAAATCAGTTTAGTCAGAGCACATTCAACCTTCTTCCTTTCACAGGGGCTGGGGATTCAGAAGGGCACTTTGGGATAAGCTTTATTCTGTATTACTTACCCTCCAAGCAAGAGACATGCTAAAGAAACTCTTCCACCAGCCTTATCCTCATGCGGCTGTTGCCTCCTGCTTGCCCTACTCTTTTCAGCCCTTTAATCCTTTACAGCTAAGTCCATGTATGGGTGGCAAGGAAACAAACAAACAAAAAGAAAGGCAAGAAAAAGAAAGAGCAGCCACTGCACAAATGGATCCATGCTAGCTGGATCTTTCTTTCCAGCCCTACAAGGACCTTCCCATCCCTCAGGAATTTATCTGGGTACTTGCTTAGAAGACCAGAACTTCTGGTTATGTGAATGACAAGATGACACAGAATACAGTAGCATCTTATTGACTGGGAAAACTCAAATGGAAAGCATCGGGTCATAGTTTCTTCAAGCTGAATGCATTC